TATGAGTTGGGGTGTTTCACTGACTCGTTGGAGCACCCATGGTGGAGAATCCCCAGTGCTGCCCAGCGCTGCAATAAAGCTCAATAACAGCTTGTTTGTAGTTATTGGGTCTTGATTCTGGAATCCTAACCCAGCCGCACCAGCCCCCCACTTCGTGAGGAGTGTTAGGAAGCAAGGGGGTTTGGAAGCTCCAAAATGTTTGTATCACCTCACTCCAGGATAAGGACCAAAGGCACTAACACTAAATGCAGGCTGCTTTACAGGACTGCTTTGTTACGGATCAGAAGACCCTACTGTGTGCTTTCCATCACCTTCTCCATGATGAGGCAGCCTGTTTTTTTGGTGGCACATCCAATGTTGAGGAGTTATTACAACATTTTTCAGCTTTAACAAAGGGTAATCTCTGGAAAGGAAAATAAATACCAAACTAGTAACTCACAGAGCATTCTTCTGTTGTTTCATCACCTGAAGGGAGGCAGGGAAGTATTTAAGATTATAATTTTAAATTAATTGCATGACCCAAGCATACTCAGAGGAGTTCAAACTGCTGCCTAGCTTCTGGTTGTTTGTTTTTTTAATACAACAAATTCTCCAAATGAGTCCTTGTGAATTTTATTTGGCTAGGATAAAGGAATTGAGGACATTGTTTCTGTAGGACTTGTGCACGTACCGTGACAAACGTTTGCCACACCAATGAACAGGCCCACACAGATCCTGCAGCAAAGCACAGTTTATTTGCACCCTTGCAAGAAGGGGTGACCTAAACAAGCAGGCACACCCATAGTAAGGTGAATAACTGTCTATATTCCCTATTCCCAACACAAAGTTCCCTCCCCTGTTTCCCCACTGGCTGGGCAGTTCAGGGTTTACAGCCCATCCCAGGCTTCTAGTTATCCTCTAAGTTTCCTGACCCTCTTTACACATTCCATTCTAGCTGTTTACCTTTTGCCTTTTAAGGTTTGATTCCGACCTTTCTTGCCCCCTTGGCTGCCTTCCCAACCACCAGAATGATCTATACCATCTGGTGCCATCCTGTCCTGGGGAGTAGCATAGGAGTGACTTTGTTCTGTCATGGCCTTTGCCATGTTCAGGTATCTCAGCTCCCCCAGATGGAACCCAATTAAGTCCCTCAGTTTCTTGGACCATAAATCACCTCAGTGTCCTTGGAATGCCCAGATATCTCCCTTCTCTCTTCGGTCACCATGAAGTTTCTTTCCACTAGGGCAGAAACAAACTATTATCTTCCTAACACTAGGGTGTGAAAACAACACTACAATTCTAACACTAAGATGCAAAAACAGCACCACACTTCATTTCTAAGATGTACATCATGTACTCCTACTAACAAAATTGTGAAACCTCATGTGCTCACAAACCTGTACTTAGTTTGAAACACACACACACACTCATTTATATTTAACTTAAGTACATGTCCTACCTGAGCAAAGGTTCAGGATATGCCACATCCAGAGCAGCTACCTTAACAACTTTGTTTTGAAGGGCTTTCACCAAAGCATCCTGACCCACAAGCAGACCTGGGTTACAGTAAGAGGAATACTCTTATTTTCCTATTCTGTACTGTTCTCCCACCATCCTTCTGGCCATGGTGGTCATGCAAACAGCAGGCTAGAGATGTTCATGAAGCACAGAAGCCACAGCAGAGAGAGGGTGGGGGAGCAGGAGGAGGAAGCTTGGGTATGTGCATCAGAGCTGGACAGGAAAGCATTTTAAAAGGCCACAAAACAAAGTACAGTTCCAGACTTCAAAGTGGGCCACTGTGGTGTATGTTAGAAACAACATTGCTCCAAATAAATAAAAAGCTTAAGTAGGAGATTATACAAATATATACGGGCTTCTAACACTCCAAGCTCACTAACATTTTAGAGACCTGCTGGCTCATAATTACAGGAATGCTTAAATGTTTTTATGAGATACGACCACATCTACGATCTAGTAATCAGAGAATTTACTGAAAATTTCAGAGTGATACTATATTAGAGTTGGGTTTTCCCAGGACTTTTTATGCCAACAAACCATAATGTAGTTTTCTTTGTTCTGCCCCCTACCTCTGCTGATGTTAATGAGAGTAGCTGTGGGTTTCATGAGCTCCAGCTCCCTCTTCCCAACCAGTCTGTGCGTCTGTGGGGTCAGGCTCACAGACGGCAACACAAAATCTGACTGCTGGAGCAAATTATCTATCTTCTCACAGTAAATAGCTCCAAAATAGCTCTTTCTTCTTCCTTGTTTCTAAGGGGAAAACCCCAAAATTAAACTGCAGTAGTAAGCAACAAGAAAAAGTTCCAATCACCATTGGAAAAAAGGTTTCTTAATTGTTTTCTTCACTCTGTAGTGCAAAGCAGTTAGCCAGTTATCTGACTGAAACTCAGGAAAAATGTTAAGCTGTTTCCCACAGTACTAAGTGCAGGATACACAAATGTGCAGTAATATATCTGCTGGGATAGAAAGTAAGAAATAAGTATTATGTAAATGCTCAGAAAACCCAACAAAATAAATGTATTTGTGTCATAGCTTCTGGTGGAAATGGGGGTTCTTTTCCAACAAAAAAGCAAGACTGATGTTTGAAATTAATTGCCTTCCCTGTGAAAGGGAACTCAGCTGAAAATCATTGAGGAGACTGAAAAGACAGGGGAGGAGTTAAATCTTCAGAAATGTGTGTCAGCAGCAGTTTGCTTGCTCTGTGCATCAATGCTGCTTTGCTGAAAGCACTTGCTGCAGGAGCTGCTGGTGCATACAGTCCTGATCAGGACAAGGCTGAGGCTGGTACCAGCCAGCTCCCATCAGATTCACACAAAAGAAAAGGGTGGGGATGGGCCTGATGGGAGCCCATCAGACATATGTGAAGGGCACAAGCACCTCATCTAGAAGACAGCAAACAGGCAAGTTCAGCTCCTCACTGCCAGCTGGCTCTGAAAGGGTGAGATGTCTCAGGGCTGAGGCCCAGACCAGGGCTGCTCTCCAGCTCCCCTCAGCCCTGGTCTGGACCTCATTCTGCCCTGTCACCATGAGTTTGCCTGATATTTTTGACTTTTGGGTGAGCCTAGCCATGATATGTGGCTCTCACTGCTTCTTGGCACAGTATTTAGTACCAACAGTGCAGAGATCACGTCATCCTATCCTAACAGAGAGAGAATAGCAGATCAGTTTGACAGTGAAAGGTACAAATAATGTTTAAAAGCAGTGACAAAATAGCCTTGCCATGGAGCTGCAGCCAGCTTTCCCTCAGAAACCTCAACCCCCAGCCAATTAGTGGGGAATACTCTGTCTCAGGGGAGACTGCCATCTGATAGCCTTGAATAGGCCTTGGTAGACAGATGTCATTGCACACATTAAGGTATTTTCCAACCTAAATTATTATAGGAATACCCTCTTTGAGAATAAAGCAACTGGGGCAGGCTCAGGAGCTCAGTCACTGCAGCTGTTATCCAGGCTACAGGCAGGCCTGTCTCTCCCAGCTGAGAAACATGAAAATTTTCCTGGCAAGGTTACTTGGACTGCAAGTCCCAGGTGATGGAGGCTGCCAAGTACAGCTCCACTATTCTGTTCACTAAACCCGTGCTGGGGTGATCCCTCTTGCTGTGCAGGTGGTCAGCAGCCACTCAGCAGGGTGCCTGCCTTCTGCAGCCAGAGCAGGTCAGGAGCTGGGGAACACCACTTCTATGGGCACCAGGAATCTCTGTCTTTCCACACTATGAAATCACCAGCAACAGAGCACTGCTGTGTCTCTCCTGAGTACTGTAGTGCTTTGCAAAATAATGAATTAAAACATCATGTCCTCCTGAAACAAACACCTCTACCAAACACATTTTGTTGTGCTGCACATGATGGCACTCAAGTATATGAAAAAGTAAAAGTATAATAAAATGTTATAATAATTATACAAAACCATAAACTGTTCTTGTTATCCTGGTGATGTTTTCTGAGTATCATTTGCTTGCATGTATTTCAAGTTCAGTTAATTTTTAATGAAAAAATTCATTAACTAGCAAGATGGAGTTACAGCATATTAGCTGGATTCTTCATTAAGTTACTTGAATTTTCTTATTTAAAATCAAAAATAACAAACTCTAAAATGCTTACACATTCCCTGTTTCACAGCAGCTGCTTCCAAGATTGCTGATAAGACATAATGGATGATGTTTTAACTTACTGCTCATGTGACAATACCTGAGGTCAAAGGACCTTGTACCAGAAACAGCGTGGCCAGCAGTACTAGGGAAATGTGATTTTCCCTCTGTACTGGGCTCTGGTGAGGCTGCACCTCGAATATTGTGCTTGGTCCTGGGCTCTTCACCACAAGAAAAACATTGAAGTGCTGGAGTGTGTCCAAACAAGGGCAATGAAGCTGGTGAAGAACACAAGTTTTATGAGGAGAGTCAGAGGGAATTGGGTTTCTTTAGCTTGGAGAAAAGGAGGCTGACGGGAGACCTTATTGTTCTCTACAGCTACCTGGAAAGGAGGTTGGAGCGAGGTGGGGGTTGGCTTCTTCTCCCAAGTAACAAGCAACAGAACAAGAGGAAATGGGCTCAAGGTGTGCCAAGGGAGGTTTAGATTGGATATTAGCTAAAAATTCTTCACTGAAAGGATCGCCAGGCACAGAAAGAAGCTGCCCAGGGAAGTGGTTGAGTTGCCATCTCTGAAGATATTTAAAAGATGGGTAGATGTGGTACTTAAGGACATGATTTAGTGGTGAAATTGGCAGTGCTAGGTTAACAGTTGGACTGGAAGATCTTCAATGTCTTCCAACTCAAACAAATCGATTCTATCACCATTATGAAGCCTCTCTCAAAGACACAAGTAGTCTCACTATGAATTGAGGAAGGAGGTCTACCACATTTTAGCAGTGAAGGTAAAAGAAGAACTTTGGAAGGACAACACAGTAGTTTTTTTCTTTGTATATCAAATCAACAAATCAGAATGAACAAGATGAAGGAGCGATTAGTCAGAGGAGCTAAAAAATAATAATCAAAGGAACGTTACACTTTTTAAGGCAAAAATCCAGGACATACATATAAAATGTCAAGAAAAATGGCTGGTTTATGTGGTTAGATGTGGAGAGAAAGAGATGGTTGCAAGGTTTTTTTATGCAACTTAAACATCTGATTTTCAAGTTATGGTTAAGGAGCTGATAAACTTCTTTAAGAGATTTATCTATATAGCAACATACATGATGGAATGGGTCAGGAAGCCATTTACATTTTGAGTGATTGAAAAGCTGTTTGAATTATTAGCACACAGAATGTCACAGATTTCAGTGTGGGTGCAACCAAAAAGCAGCTACCATAAAATAAGTCTGACTAAGGTAGAACAAGATGAGAGTGTTGCACCAGTGCACTATCATGTTCTAAGTATATTTAATTTGTAGAGTATCATATAGACCTCCATGTAGTGTATTAAGCTAAATTACCTAGTATTGCAGTGTGGTATTAATTTTCTCTTCCAGAAAGGGATCTATTATACCAATATTGTGATGAAGTTCTCTGAAATTAATAATGTCTGTGGGCATGAGGAGAGAAATGTCACACAGTCTGTGACCTTCATTTCCATTATTAAATATTGCCATAGGTGTCCATGTAATGCTGCACAGCAAGATGATGCCTACATATGCTTGTGTAATAGTTTCTTAGGACTAGACTTCTGAAGTACTGCATTAGCCCAAAAGACTTGTGTAATGTAATGTAGTACATTTCCCAGATGAGATGTATAGACTAGCTGAAGCATGAAACTGGATAAGGACACAACATTTCCCATGTCTATGTCATATATTATAAAGCCACATTATATGTGACCAGGATTCATAGAACCAAAAAAAAGCAGAGGCAGGAAATCTATATTCACCAGTTTGTTATTTCAGGCAAGGTCAACCCAAGTGATGCACTTGTTTTCTGTGACTCTAAACCATCATAAAAGATTATCACTAACCTGTCTGCTTGTCGTAGATAAAGTCAAATTTCCTAGTAGACTATCATATCAAAACTTTATGCCAGATCATGTTGGCTTTGCCCATCAAAATGTTTAAAAAGAAACATGAATAAATGGAGTGAACTGTAATCGATCATCTCTTTGCTCATGTGGTCACTGCATCTTTTGATCCTTTTTTATTAATGGTAAGATCGTGCATTGTGTTTTCCAAGCACAATCTAAGCAGAATAGCAGAGATGAGAAACAGCATCTAGTAAGCACAGGAAGGTTTCCTTAACTGTATGTCAGCCAATTTGATATTATTCAATAAATATTTATAAATCAAGGAAATCCAGGGAACAAAAGGATATTTTTTGCAATACAATTTGAAAAGAGGTAGTTGCTTTCTCATACATAGTTCCCAGTTTTGGGAAGCTGTCCTTCAAGTGATCATTTCCAATTTGTGGAATGACAAGTTGTGTGTCAATCCATCAGTGCAGTGACTGACAGGTATCCTGTTGTCTAGCATTGTCTCTTCCTCTGTAAAGCACCCCAGTGGCTTGGAGCAATTCTGTAACTAATCAGCCCAGATTCTTGAAATATCTGCAAAAGTAGAAGTAAAACTCCAAGCAAATGCCAGGCATGTTCCATTGTTTCATGTAGAAGTGAAATGCAGTACTGTATCTGTATATGTTTGCATATCTGTATATGTTTGCTACTTCATGTCTGGAGAAAAGTTTGCATGTGAAAAACCTTGTGTGTTTTTTCCGGTTTTAGGATATTGATTTAATCAGAATTGTGTGGCTTGTTTTTTTTCTCTCTGCTATTTTAGCTTCTTGACTCTTTGTTTTCAACTATTGCTTAGCCTTTTATTTTGAATGAATAAACAAAACTTTTTTTGTTTCCAAGGTCATACTGGTGACAATGAAAGGTATACTTTACAGCCTACCCAACACTTCTAATTATCGGGTAAGTTTCCCACCCCTGTTTACACATTCCATTCTAGGGGTTTACTTTTTACCTTTTAAGGTTTAATTCTGACCTTTCTTGCCCTCTTGGCTTGTCTTCCCAACCATCAAAATGATCTATACCATCTGGTGCCTTAAGTGACTTTGTTCTCTCTTATCTTGGGCCACAAATCCTGCTCCATGTACCTTGGAAGGTTCAGATACCTCACCTCTCCCAGTTACTATGGATGGAGCTCAATTAAGTCCCTCAGTTTCTTGGACCACAATCACCACAGGTGTCCCTGGAGTGCCCAGATATCTTATTTTTCAGTCACCATAAAGTTTAATTACATTTTTCTCATTATGTCAGAAACAAACTATTATGGTGCGTCCCCCTTCTTTTATTTACACTACTGTTGCTTTTCACATTATCTCAAGTTGTTGTTCTGTAAGATGCCTCTAGTTCAGACAACATGATTTCACATCTCTCTTCAGGGGAGAGGCAGTCTGGATTATTTTCATAGAATAATAGAATCATAGAACTATTCAGGTTGGAAAAGACACTTGGGGTCCAACCATCATCCCTACTCTACAATGTTCTCCCCACTACAATGTTCTATCCACTAACACCACATCCAAACAACCCTTAAACACATCCAGGGATGGTGACTCAACCTCCCTGCGCAGACCCCTGGGCAGCCTATTCCAGTGTCTGACCACTCTTTCTATGAAAAAAAATTTCCTAATGTCCAGTCTAAACCTCCCCTGTTGCAGCTTGAAGCCATTCGCTATTGCTCTGTTGCTAATTACTTTTGAAAAGAGACCAGCACCAACCTCTCTACAATGACCTTTCAGGTAGTTGTAGAGACTGATGAGGACTCCCCTCAGCCTCCTCTTTCTCAAACTAAGCATTCCCAGCTCCTTCAAGCATTCTTCATAAGATTTATTCTCTAGGCCCTTCACCAGCTTCGTTGCCCTCCTCTGCACTCGCTCCAGCACCTCCATATCTCTCTTGAGCTGAGGTGTCCAAAACTGGACTCAATACTCCAGGTGTGGCCTCACCAGTGCTGCGTACAGGGGGACAATCACCTCTTTTTGCTTATATTCATCCACAATTTGACTGGATAGCCCTGATATACTGCAATGCTTATGTATTTAAACCCTTGGATATTCCACAGACAACAACTCACTATTATGAAGATCCCACTCATTTTCACTAAATGGTTCTCTTCTCCTTTTAATGCCCCCAGAACCTATGTTTTCCTATAAAACAGATAAACATGAACCCAATAACCATAATAATCACAATTGCTACAACCACTATTTCAGTTATAATTGATTAATACTTATTGCTTCTTCAGTTTAAAGCAGGGTTTTCAGTTGGGTAGGCCTGCCACTGTTCTTTCTCGAGTGGAGCCTCTACTGGTCCTTTGAGTTGGGTATAATGAGTCCATCCTTTCTCAGCTGTCTGGACAGCAGTCTCTGTAGTCGACAGAACTTGAGATGGTCCCTCCCAGGTTGGTTGGAGTTTGGCTTCCTTCTAGGATTTAACCAGGAACCAGTCTCCAGACTGAAATGGGTGCACTGCAAATTCCAAAGGTGGAGTCTGTGCCAGGAGCCCTTGATGCCTGAGGGAAAGCAAAGAAGATGACAACCTGAGTATATAGCTCTTCAGAAAAATATCTTCAGTTTCAAATTGCGGAAGTCCATCACTTTTGCCTAAATCCACACAGCATTTCATAAGGTGACACTCCTGTGTCTTTGCAAGGAGCAGTCCGGATTCTTAGCAGAGCAATAGGTAGACACTTAGTCCAAGGCAATGTAGTTTCCAGCACTAACTTTGACAACTGCTTTTTCAAGGTCTGATTTATTCTTTCTACCCTTCCAGACAGGGGAGGATGCCAAGGGGTATGGAAATCCCAAGAAACCCCCAGGCTGTTCATTAAGTCCTGTAACACCTTGGAGGTAAATGTCTGAATCTCTATTTTCCACTATCCCATATCTGGGAATGATCTGCTCCAGGATTACTCCGTTGCTGCAGTGGCTGTGTTGAGGGGAAATACTTCTACAGACCCTGTTACATGATCTACTAGAACCAGCAAACATGTAGCTTGGCCCATCTTTGGTAATTCAGTGAAGTCAATCTGAATACTCTGAAAGGGTCTTAAACCTGAAACTTGACCCCTGTTGCCTTTTTAGCACCTTTTTGTTGATCTTCCTACAAAACATACATCCTTCACAAACTTGCTTAGTTGTTCCCCAATGAATTCCTGATGCAGAACAGCTAATGGTTTGTTTAACTTTTCTCTACCATACGGGAGTAATAATTTCCCATTCTGTTCTGTTGCCCCCAGTTCCTTGATAGCCTCTTTTTCTTAAAAAATTCGGTTTGTCATTGGAGCTGGCACCTCAGGAGTGAGATAATTAATTATTATTACTTCTGATTGAGGAGTACTTCTCGACCAGTTTCATCTGCCAGCCTGTTCCCTATAGCTTGTGGGGAGTTTCCTTTCTGGTGCCCATTAACATGTACTACAGCTACCTCTGCCTGCAGCATCAGATTCTACAGCACAGGCTGAATATGTTCTCCATGGGCCAACTCCTTCCCTTTACTGTTTATCAGCCCTTGCTCCTCCCAGATTTTCCCAAAGATATGCACTACTCCAAAGGCCCATTTGGAATCGGTGTAAATCGCTCCTTTCTTGCTTTCTAGCATCAGTAATGCTTGGTTGAGAGTGTATAATTCACATGTTTGAGCTGACCATCCACTGGGTAATTGCCCCATCTCTTTAACGGGTTTCATCCCCGAGTATTTCCTCATGGGGTCCTGTAATTGTTGTAAAAAGAGCGATGGGGACTCATCCTTCCCTTGCTGGAGCTCAAATGCCTTCCTAAGATTTTGGGACCTCAGGCCAGCATCTTTAATCACTTGTATTATTAGTTCTCTCAGGTCTTTCATATTATTCCGGTGTACAGGGTTATTATAATCTCAATTGGGATCCACATTGGGGAATTTTTACTCCGCTGGGACTATCCTTTGCCCAGGGGGTTTCTTCCTTTCCCATTCCTGCATAGCTGCCCGTCTAATCATTCCCCACTTTCCACTAAACATAATATTCAGGATAGACATCAATTCTGCCCAGGATATTAACTGAAATAACACACTGAGAACATCAAAGTGCATAACTGCTCAGTTTGAAATCTTCAAACAAATCCCTTTTATTAGTTCCACTTTATATTTTAGAATTGTAAGTAACAGTACCGATCTAGTCCAGTGAGATGACAGCTTTGCAGTATCATGACAAGAGCAGTGCAGGAATAGGTTGGTTTTGTTTTAATTTAAAAGTGGTCCTGTAAAAAATAGTGCCTTGCCATACATATGGGTTTTAGTTACATCATCTGTCACGTATCATTTAGGAAACACTTCACTTGGAATGGGTTGGCCATTGAGAACAGCCAGCATGTTTGCTATTGCCTCCTCTGCCATCCTATGGGTAGCCTGGACTGTTGCGGTTCCAATGTGAGGGACTATGATGATGTTATTTAATTTCAATAAAGGATGGTCCCTGTAAGAAACAGAAACAACAGAATGCATTACACAAGGAATTTACCCTGCAGCTATCCCATGCTGGTTGTTAAGAACTAAAGCTCAGGAAGTAGCATTGGCATATTGAGATAAAAGAGCCACAGGCACAGAACCAGCAGAAACCTGTGGGAAGCTTGCTTACCCATTTATTTTTCCTCTCTATTGGTCTTGTTGACATGCCTGTTAGTTAGGCTAGCAAAGAACTCCCAGGTGTGGGAAAGGTGAAGAGTTTGTAACTCATTTATGATTGTGTGAGCCAGGCTAAGGATTGCCCTTAAACAGTGAGAGAGACTCACCATGGACATAAAGATTATGAGCACGTTTTTGCACACAGTTTAAAACATTTCAGATTAATACAATGTAAGACAGGTTTCTTTACCTCGGCAGAGGCTCAGGGTATGTCACATCCAGGGCAGCAGCCCTAATAACCTTATTCTGGAGAGCTTCAACCAATGCATCTTGATCAATAACTGCACCTGTATTGAATGAAATGTGGGTGTGAAACCTTGCTATTGTGATGAGTTAATACATACATTTTTACCTGGGTGTGGAGAAAGGTCTCAAGGGTCTAGTGAGAAAAATTACAGGATCTTCATTTTGTTAGAAAGTAGGATGTCTTTCTAATAAACATTAACCAAACAAAGCAGATATTTAATTTATTAATATTTAATTAGAGGAAGATTATGGTCCACTGCATCAGGCTTTTCCTGCGATGTGACCAGTTTCAGCCACATTTTCAGTCTCATTTTGACACTGAATTCTGATAATATTATACATAACTCATTTAAGCTCTTCAAGCTTTCCTCTCTTTTATCTTTGCTTTGTTTACTGAAAATAATCTCTCACATATGCTTGTTCAGTGCCAACAGATCTGTAATCCCACGTGAGATTACTTTTCTACATTACTGTTCCAATAAAACTTACATTTTCCCTCTTACCCCATTCATCATCAGTGATGATAAACCTTTCAGTTACTTCTACTTAAAAAAGCTGTCTTTAGGATAAAGCTAAACACAACAGAACATCTGATGACCAACCCTAAATCCCATAGGATCTTTAAACATGCAGTATCTGATCTATAAGTCATTCATTTGTAGACTACCAACTACTTAATGACTCTAACAATGCACGGATATCACACACTGAGGTCAGAGGGGGTAATGTCATAAAATCAGACAAAACACAGCTTTAACTGTGGAGCCACAAATACTGCTTTTAGGTCATCCTACCTCGGCTAATGTTTATAAGAGTAGCTGTGGGTTTCATGAGCTCCAGCTCCTTTTTTCCAATCAGTTTGCAAGTCTCAGGAGTCAGGTTCACAACCAACATAACAAAGTCAGATTGCTGTAGCAAGTGTTCCATCTTCTCACAGTAGTGAGCACCAACTGCCTCTTCCTCCTCCTTTCCTCTGAAGGAAAAATGCACACAACCACAAATGGATACAACTATTTCTAACCAGTTTTAACAATCAATAAGCCCTAGGAGAGATCTGGAACAGCATAGAGATCAAGAGATTTGCAGCCAATGTAAAGAAAAAGACATGGATAGGTACAGATAGTGGAAGCAAGGCAGGAATGATGTGGGCTAGAGGGAGACAGAAACTAGAGGAGTGGCAGAACAATGGAGTGACATATGTGTGAAGGCAAAGTATGTAGATGATATAAGGTTGGGGATGCAGTCAGAACCCCCTCTTTCCTGAGTCTACACCAACCCCTGTAGCATCTCTCCTTGCCTGACATGTGAGTTAGGACTTTAGGAGGAAAGGAATGAAGAGGAAGTGAAATCTGAAAGAAAGGGAACTATAACACGAAGAGAAATCAAGACCCTTGTCATTGGTGCTGGCATGATGAGTGATCTGACTGGGCTGAGGAGAGGTGTGACTGGTTAGGTGGGCCAGGGATGCTGCCAGAATCCTGAAGAGTCTGGCAGGTCAAGGGGCACACTAAGGGCACAAGGGCCGGTTTGTTTGGCCAATAGCTCCAGAAGGGTTACACAGCCCCAGTTCCAAACTGCTAGTAGCTAACTGGGGCAGAGTGAGCGCCAGAGAGAGGAGGCAAGGGGGAGCTGCTTCCCAAGGGAAGCAGAAGGGAGCTAAAGTCACGAAGTGGTGGCACACTGGTACTCCTTATGCTGCTTACAGGTGTCACAAATACTCAGGAATACTGGGGGCACATAACAGAGCTGTGGTTTCTCTCACTGCCCCCTGACAAATTACATGCAGAAACCAGACATTTTTACCTCCGGTTCCTGTTATGGTACAGGATCCTCATGTCAAAGGCTCTGGCTCTCTGAGCCACTTTGTACCCAATATTGCCCATCCCGATGATCCCAAGTGTTGCTCTGGTTACTTCCACTCCCAGCCAGTCAGCAGCAAAATACTTTGTGTCAGGAGAAAATGCAATCTGGCAGCCTGAAAGTAAATATGAGTACAAATGAGTACAAACTGACCATAAACATAGGTTTGGGGAAAAAGAAAAAAAGCTTCTCTACCATCACAGCACTGAGGCTCTGAAGCACCCCTTGCAAAACTTCCTTGCCAATTTTGACCAGTTTATGGAAGGGCCTGGATGGTACTGTTCCCAGCAGCCAGGGCTGGAGCCAGTAACACAGGGGGGCTCCAACCTGGGTACTGTGCTGGGAGGAACTGTTGCTCAAGCAATTAAGTTTCCTGTTGCTGAAGTATTTTACTGGAAGTTCAAAAATAACTTATTTGTCACCACCCCACAAACATTGACTTCCCTTTTCTTTAGATGGGGTAAATCTCACTGTTTTCTTCTGGATCACAACCCAAAGCAGCCCCACTACTTGAGTGGGGGTGAAGGCTGCAAATTCCTCCTCAGCCAGGGATCTCTATGAGCTTATACACAAAGAATATGAGGTCCAGCAAGATGCAATAGAGAAAACATCACTTTTTAGGTGGAGCAGCAGTGACAGCATGACTGAGTCCCTGAAGACAGAGGCAACTTCTTGTGATGGTCTCTACTGACATCTTCCTTCCCCTGAAAGGCACTGAATAGCAAGGGCACGTGGGGAAGGGCTTACCTTTAAGGATACAAATTGATTTTGGTGATACAGTTCAGAATAAATTTGTCAAAAGGATTATAAGCTATTTCAATAATAACATTGATGCCCTTCTAGAAATACAACCCATTGGTTTATACAAATTATTCATAGAAGCAGGAAAAAATGAAGTGTTCTACTAATTAACTCCTCTAGAGATCAAGACATGGCCATTAAGGCTTTGTACCTTCCTGTAGCTCCCAACACGTGTTCCAAGGGGAAACAGAGAGGTGGTGACATTTGATTTGGATGCATTTTGTATTCGATTTTTATGGCTGTAAAAAAAGCATCCAGTGAACAGCCAGAGGAGAATTACACCCCAGACATTATTCCAAAGAGGGCATCACAAGGAACTTTAAAGTGCATAATTTAGACAAAGGCCTTACTCTTGTTCAACACTGTTTTAACAAAAAGCAGGATACTGGAAAAGCAGAGGCCTATGAAAATGGAGGCCTCTGAAATATTTTTCCCCATAAAAGCATCCCAGATACTGATTTGGATGAATCATCTCTATCATAGTAAGACTGAGATATGCCAAAGAAGTATCTAAGATACAGGAAAATTTAAAACATTACCTTCCACTAGTCTTCTGGCAGAGGCCAGCATCAAGGCCATTCCTATGTCTGCTGTTGGGTCTGCCACAGCATGCGGAGTGTTTGTCACCTTTACGCCGAAGCTAGAAATCATTTTCAGGTCTAAGTGATCGACTCCAACTCCAGAGTTTCCAATTACCTTTAAATTAGGCAGGCTTTCTAGAAGCTCCCAGTCAATAGTTGGCCTGCACTCAAACACGAAAACTGATTGGATTTTTTTGCTCATTTCTTTTTTGTTTTCAAGAAACTCCTTCATGGTGATAAGGTGAAAGTGTTTTTTCAAAAGTGCTGCAATGTTGTCGAGCACACCATAAGCTCCTCCTATATCTAGAATCAAAACACCTGGCAACTCTTCTTCTGCCATGACCTGCAGCAGCGAAATAGAAGAAATACTCCTTTGTTTAGGACATCATTAAAGGATTGATGCATTTAAATTCACATCTGTAAAAAAGGAAACTGACAGAACTCAATGCTGGTTTTAATGAGACAGAATAAATCCATAGTCACTTGGCACTAGTGTGGTACATCAGGTAACTTCCTAGTATTTTCACTAAGTGCTCGTAACACCAAGGAATATTTATCCCCCTTGATCTAAATCTGGTGGTACAAGGTGTTCTTCTCAAATAGTTCAATTTTAGTTTTGAATCCATATTGATTTAATATAAATCTGATAAGCTTCTCAACCTTATTAACAACTTCATTTCCATAAAGCAGTGGTATGAAACAGGCCTCTATTAAGTTATTAAAAGCTTCCTTTCTATTGATTCTGGTTGGTGAAGCTGCAGGTAGTATATGAAGGTACTGAGGCTCAGATGGGTCTGACAAACATCTGTCAGGAATGGTGTAGGCCTAAAAATTGGTATGATGAAGGGCCATCCTTGTAGAGCTACTACAATGCTTGCCTTCAGTGTTTTAAACATCCAGATCTGTACATAAACTTATCTCCCACAAAATTCAGCACATCCATGGCCATATGCTGAACGGGTGGCAAAGAGCACTAGAGGTGATACTGTAAGACCCACTGACAGCACAGTTCTTCATATCAGAAGTCTTTCTCTGCCCAGACAGTTTTGTGCCTAGTCATTTCTGCAACCGTATCCTGCAATAAGAGAGAGGATCCACAGCTAACCACATGCCTAGAGGCAGCCCTTATTGACAAAAATGGTACCTGAAGATTTGCTGCATATCTTAACAACAGTCCTGTCTAATAGATATGACAATTATGTTTGCTGTGCTCCACTTGACTGAGGTCTCTATCACATACTGTGTCCTGTACTTGGATCCAGGAAACCTAGTGTTGGGCTAACTACGAATGCCTGTGCTAACAGAAACATTTTCCACAGAAATATGCTGATTTATTTGGGGCACCCAATGCTAGGCAGAGATTTCCTGCTGCTTCAGTCCTCTCATTCAAGAACTCAGTGAGTAATCAGAATTCAAACCTGTGACAAAAAGGCATCAATGCAGATTAGAAATTTCTGTTGAACCCTTGTCCTGAGCAAACTCAGGCTTGTTCCAACGGCATCTGTTAAATGCTCACAATCTCAACAGCAGTAATACTGCTTTATCCTGCTCGTGACCTGCATTTCTGCCTCAGTTCCACTCTGCTGCTGTACATGGGCTAGAAGAAGCCTCCATGTCAGGACAGGTGTGTAGGTCACCACGAACAGTGTATCTGATAACACTAACCAGTTCTGAACAGCAGCAAACAAAGCAATGAGATTAATAATGCAACCATATTACAAAGGATTATTGTGTTCTTATATGTATATGTAATCTATTTGTTGCCAACTGAAATATTTTGAACTCTGCTGGCTCCATATGGTTAGAAAAATTGTGCAAATTAGTCTGAGTATTTCTTGAAATATCACACATGACCGTGGCAGTATAAACTAGATTCATCTTCCAGAATGAATGACACATAGAAAAAAGGTTTGATGTCATATTGTGTCCAGCTTCTTGATGATCCCAACTTGAAGCTCCTGCAGCAACTTACTCAAGCTGGATGGCAACTGAACCTTATGCTGTTAAGTGATGGAAAACTGGGCGCTAGATATCATCAACTGGCTGGCAGATGCCAGTAAGGCAGCACTGTATTACACCATTTGCCTTCATCACCACTTCCTCCTTCATTCCAGTACACCATGTATGAAGGTCAGTGTCAGACCTGCATTCATTTTGGAAGCACTTCCTAAACTTCATGAGCAGAAAGATGATCCCTAAGGAAGACATAGTGCACTGCAGGAATAGCTGCTTTAGCTCGAAACAAACCAGCTGGTGCACACTAGAAGCAGGCTGTAATTAATGTAATTAATGATGTAATTAATCTTTTCATTAGTGTGGACGTGACGAATCTGTCACAATTTCGGCTGCGTTTGATGTGCACGTGAACCATTAATGGGCTCCAGCTTTGGTTCAAGAACTGGGATTCTGCTAGGACCACATACCATGCTAAAATACCATATTGTTAGCGGTAAACTAACTGGAAAAGGGGAGATTCAGAGTACACATAAGGAGGAAATTCTTTACACTGAGGGTGGTGAGACACTGGAACAGGTTGCCCAGGGAAGTTGTGGATCCCTGGAAGTGTTCAAGGCCAGGCTGGATGGGGCTCTGAGCAACCTGGTCCAGTGGGAAGTATCCCTGCCCATGCAGGGAAGTTGGATCTAGATGATCTTCAAGGTGTCATCCAACCCAAAGCATTCTATGATTCTATGATATGATTCTATGAACCCTGGAGAGGGAAGGGGACTCTCCAGGTACTAACCTTGGTCTGAGGAGCACTTATTGTTCGTGCTCCAGCACCACCTGGGCACGTCTTGTGCATCTCTCTGTAATCCACACTTCTGTGACAGCAGTTTCCACGAGAAACAACAGCTGGATGAATAAATTTACAAGCCAAATTTGACTGGCCAGACAGCAAGGAAATTGGTTGTAACAGGCTGAATGCTTTGCTCCTGAACATAATTATTCAGATATCAGGTGTCTTTCTTGTCCAGTGTGCTGAATGTAACACCTGTTAAGGATATGACAATTTTGGTTTTGGACAAGTATCATCTGCAGTATTGCTGACTTTTTTTTTTATTTTTAAAGCTGTCTCTCTTCACACTCCCTGTTTACATAAGATTATCTGCCTCCAGGTATGTAGAAATCCATAGTTATATGTAACACATTCTTACAAGGGACGCGTTCTAAGTTCTGGTCCTCACATCGCAGAGAAAAATGTGAAAATACAACTCGGATTGAGACAAGTGGGCACATACCAACTTCAGTGCTAGAGGGAGCCGGCCTTACTCACTGCGCGGGGCTTGCTCGCTGTTTACTCACCGACGTGCGCTCTTCCAACTTGGCCCTATCCCAGCGAAACAAACCAGCCCAGCTCCTCCGAGCCCTGCTTTGAATGAAAGGCAGCACATGCACTGCCCAGCGCAAGCTCCTCCCGCTGCGGGAGCTCCCAAGGGTTAACCAGGGCTGGTTAAGTCGCTGCCGACGCGTCGCCCCCGCTCCCAAGGGTTAACCAGGGCTGGTTAAGTCGCTGCCGACCGAGGGGCAGGGCCCCCAGCTCCAGGCGCTGGGTGCTCCGGGAAGGAGATCAGGCAAAACAAGGACTTCGATGGGGTTTTGTTTTTTTTGGAGAGCTCTGCAGTTCTGGGGCAAAGTCGTTTGGTGGGCGGGGGGCTTGGGTGCCTTCCCACCAGTCGAGCAAAACAAATGAGGTTTGCCATCTGACGTGTTACGCAGGAACTGCAAAGTCAGCAAGCTGCCAAGTCCATCCTCCCTACAGCGATTGGTTAACAATGATAATAGTGTTAAACCACTATTTCTACTATCACACATGCTCAGGGGAAGAGTCTTCACGTGGGCAGGGGTCTTTTTGACGTGGAGATGTGCTTTTTTAGTCTTATAATGACATTATAATGAGCTACATTCACCTAAAGGACACCATATGTTCTATAGCTCCAACTGCACACGACTGGTTCAGCTGTAAATCTTTATTTTGGTTCTTCCTTATCACCTCCTGTGTTCCTTAGGTCCATTTATCCATATAGACCTTAATTCTTCTCTGCCAAGTTGGTGATTTACATGAGACACCCTTAAAACTTATTAATTAATTCCCTTCTTCAAGGCCTAGTTACTGCAGGATGTCCTTGCTCAGTGTTAGCTGTGGTACTAATCGTGTGCCTCTCTGACTACAATTTTAACTTGTTTATCTGTACAGAATACATCTTACACGAAATAACCACATCATTCTGAATTTCTGAGTTATTTTCCTACAAGTCTGCAGTGTATAATAATATATATACCTTTCAGGAAGATTGGCCTAGGATGGCCAGTCTCAGTGGCCAGCTCAGTTCTGGAACCGAGTGCAGAAATGTCCAGGTGTAGCTGCTGATCACTTCAGCTGAAACACTGAGCACTGCGTATTCCAGCCCTGGCGTTTGGATGGCCAGCAAGACAGGGCACCAAGGTAAGGACAGCACACCTGCTGCCAGGGGGCAGGGCACAGCTCCCACAGGCAGGGTTAGCTCCAGGTACAGGGTGTGTCAGGAAGAGGGATATGTGGTTGTGACCCATCGGGTTCAAACAGGTGACAAACGTTTGCCACACCAATGAACAGGCCCACACAGATCCTGCAGCAAAGCACAGTTTATTTACACCCTTGCAAGAAGGGGTGACCTAAACAAGCAGGCACACCCATAGTAAGGTGAATAACTGTCTATATTCCCTATTCCCAACACAAAGTTCCCTCCCCTGTTTCCCCACTGGCTGGGCAGTTCAGGGTTTACAGCCCATCCCAGGCTTCTAGTTATCCTGTAAGTTTCCCGACCCTCTTTACACATTCCATTCTAGCAGTTTACCTTTTGCCTTTTAAGGTTTAATTCCGACCTTTCTTGCCCCCTTGGCTGCCTTCCCAACCACCAGAATGATCTATACCATCTGGTGCCATCCTGTCCTGGGGAGTAGCATAGGAGTGACTTTGTTCTGTCATGGCCTTTGCCATGTTCAGGTATCTCAGCTCCCCCAGATGGAACCCAATTAAGTCCCTCAATTTCTTGGACCATAAATCACCTCAGTGTCCTTGGAATGCCCAGATATCTCCCTTCTCTCTTCGGTCACCATGAAGTTTCTTTCCACTAGGGCAGAAACAAACTATTATCTTCCTAACACTAGGGTGTGAAAACAACACTACAATTCTAACACTAAGATGCAAAAACAGCACCACACTTCATTTCTAACAAACACACCTGTACCTTCACACAGCACTCGAGCCAGAACCAGCTCAATGAACCGGAGGTTCCTTGCGGTGGGTAAACACACTGACAAAACAAGCGGGATGTGCACGCAGCTGCTCCCTCTGTTGCAGCACCTCCGGATCCAAACCCAGTGGGGACACGGGGCTTTTTTTTTTTAACGTCCTCGGAGCGTGCAGCAGCAAAGACTCGGAGATCTGGGCTGTGCTGCCCCGTCTCCCCCTCCCCAGGCTCCCAGCAGCACCACATC